GCCATGTTCACAGCCCAGAGCCTACTGAGCTCACATGTCAAATGAATTTGGAGATGAGACTTCAGATCTGGCCACCTTCAGCATCTGAGCTGGGTTTGGCAGATAAACTGGCTTGGATGCCCTATTCTGCTACTTTCCTGGCCTTTTGCAGGCCTCTTTAACATCCTTACTAATTTTTAGGGCTGAATTAATGATTTCTTTGTGCTTTCTAGTCAGCCTCATATTTCAGAGGCAGCTCTCCTACCTTTCACTGCTTTGCCCTCTTATGTCACACTTTCAGCCCTTTACCCTAGTCATACTTGCTCTCATCTGCAGCAGTTCCAGTTCATGAATCTTGGCCTATTCAGCTACCCCATTGGTTGCTCAGGCTCTTCCTTGTTATCCTGGATTCTTTCCTCCATATTCCAACTCATTAGGTCCTATAGTTTCAACTACATAATACTTTTTTGTTTTGAGAGGCAAGGTCTTTGTGACAACACACCCAGTTTATACAGTGCTGGTAATGTAACTCAGGGCCTCTTGGATGATAGACAAGCATTCAAACAATTGAACTACATTCCTAGCTCAAACCCTTGGCTTCAAAGTCCTGATCCTCTAAGGTGTTCTTTGCATACTGACATGAACCATTACTAAGTTAATTTATTTCCTTCCTTCCTTCCTTCCTTCCTTCCTTCCTTCCTTCCTTCCTCCCTCCCTCCCTCCCTCCCTCCCTCCCTCCATCCCTCCATCCCTCCATCCCCTCCCTCTCTGTCTCTCCCCCTCTCTCCCCGTCTCTCCCTCTCCTTTTCTACAGAATCTCATCCTTAGCCAGGGCTGGGCTTAAACTTGTGCTAATCTGCTAATTGTGCCTCAGGCTCCAAAGTGCTGGGATTGCAGGCATGAGCCACCCCAGCCAGCTCCCCCATTAATATTTCCCATTTGCTGTAGCGTGGTGGCACAGGGCTTTGATCCCAGCCCTTGGGAGGTAGAGGCAGGTGGATCTCTGAGTTTGAGGCCAGCCTCCGTCTACACAGAACCTCTGTCTCGAGAAACAAAACAAGACAATGTCTTCTAATATTTCTGTGACTTCTGGTAAGTGCATAAATCAAATATGTCCACATATAGTTTATGTTGAATATAAACCCACAGGTCTTTTCCTTATTCTCACTTTCACAGGGTTTCAAGTATTTCAGGGTGGCCATAAACTTACTCTGTAGCCAAGTCTGGCCTTAAATCCTAATCTTTTTTTTTTTTTAAGTCTTCCAAGTGCTGAGGTTACAAGTGTGAGCCACCATGCTAGCCCCCCCCCCCTTTAACTAAAAAGACAAAAAGTGAGTTCATCCTATTCCTGAGCGCTATGTCAAAACCTCACCCTTACATTAACATTTGCTTCTCTCAACCTGAGGCTTCAAGACCATCACTAGTGGCTCGTAGGTGTACTCTGGGCCGTTCACCGAAATGCAGAACACCTGGTATCAGAGCTGTCATTATGGTAATGTCTCTGTTCCTGCAAGTGACACACCGATCCACCACTATGCTGAGTAATATGTCCTGGAGTTTAGTTCTTTGTTTGTTTGTAGGAATGATCTGTTAGAGACTGACATAGCAGACCCTGGGAAGAAAATCGTGGTTGCGCACCCCTTTTCTGTTTCAAACAAAACTGCGTTCTGGTTGGCTAAAGTTACCTACTTCCCTTTGAGTCTAGTCAGCGTCTGTCTTGCTCAGCGTGTTGGCGTCAGTTCCTTTCTAGTTGCAAGCCGATGACGTTCTTAGTTCTCAGGCTCTGATTGGCTTTTCATCGCCAGACCAAAAGTCCCGCGACAGAGCAGCGGACGTTGTGCACTGGCTCGGCCACGCCCTAGAGTTGGTGGGAGTTCAGTGATCCTCCTTAAAGCGGGTTCTTGTCAAGGCCCGCCCTCTGTCCTGGTTGTTTGGGTGTCATTGGCAGCGGATTGAAGTTCTGCTGTCAGCCCCGCCCCGCCCCGCCCCTAGTCGGTTAGGTTTCCTGGGCGGAGGTGGGAGCTGTTGAGGGGGAAACCACAGGCCCTGGGGCCCCAGCACTTCCCTTGCTTCAGCAGCATTCATGTCTTGGAAGCGCCTGCTTAGACGCTTTGTCAGCTGTGGCTGGAAAGCAGAGGGTAGGGTAGCTGGGGGTCACTCGGGGCACAGTTCTCCAGGACGTACCTACTCTGCCTAATCATTTTTTTCTCTTCCGAGCCCCACCGTTCTTGTGGTTCGTCTCATCTTTCATTGCCCAGGGAAGCCAGCCAATCACATCAGCACTGTGGTCATCATCCCTCAGGAGAAAGTGTACATTCTTCCACATATTAAAAAGTCTTGTAGCACTCCCGAGACAAAGGCAGGCAGCTCTGATTGTTTTGACTTTTCTATAGGTTCTGATAAGTGCATAAAGTCAAATATATTGACCATTATGTTTTCATATTGAATATAAACAGCCTGATTGCCCTGCATAGTGATACCCTGACATGATTTTACTTTTGTGAGTGTGGGTGCCCGAGGAGTACAGAAGGGGGCATTAGATCCCCTAGAAGTAAAGTATTAAGTGGTTGTGAGCAGCCTTTGAATTCTAAGAACAGAACTTTGTCCTCGGGAAGAGCGCTTTAATCACTGCGGAATCATCTCCATTGTCTATCTTGTTGGTTTGTTTGTTTGTTACTTTTGACAGCCTCCATATATAGCCCTCCATATATAGCATCACCTCATGTAGCTTATCTGATTTAACTTAGGCTGGCCTGGAAATCACCCTGCAAACCTGGTTTGCCTCTGAGCTACCATCTAACACACACATGGAGGTTTACAATCATCTGTAATTACAGTATCTAGAGGATCTGATAACCTCTTTTGGCCTCCATCAGCATTGAGCACACACACAATTTACACAGACATAAACACATAAAATTAAATGCCTAAATAAGTATTTTAAAATAATTTAATTTTACTTATTTTATGTGCATTAGTGTCAGATCCCTTGGAATTGCGGTTACAGACAGCTGTGAGTTGCCATGTGTATGCTGGGAATTGAACCTGGGTCCTTTAGAAGAGCAAACAGTGCTCTTAACCACTGAACCATCTCTCCAGCCCTAATAACTATTTTTCAATAAAAAATTTAAAAGCCAAAAAGAAACAGGCCAGGTGTACTGGCACACACCTTTAATCCCAGCTGCCTTTTTTTTTTGTGTGTGTGTGTGTAGCATTGGCTACTCTGTAGAACAGGCTGGCCTCCAACTCACAGAGATTGCCTACCTCTTCCTCCCAAGTGTATATGCCACGGCACCCAGCTTAATTCCAGCATTTGGGAGGTAGAAACAAGCTGGTCTCCACAGTGAATTCCAGACAGCCAGAGTTACATAGTGAAGCCCTGTCTTCAAACAAAAGGAACAAGAGGTAAAGGTACAGAAAACGGTTTCACTCATGGTTTCATATGCTGAACAAGTATCCTAAGAGCAGAGCCAATCAGTCAAGTTTTCTGCTTCGCTTTTCACTCAGTTTCACTGCAGGGGGCCTGAATGGGGTACTATTCAGATTTCTGGTTTCTCTTTAGTATGAGACACTGTTGGAATAAATGTCCTAACAAAGCAAGTTCACAAGGATGGATATCCATTCATATACTAGGTGAAGGGATACAGGCTTGCTTGCCTTGGTGAAAGATTTCAACATTGCTACGTCTGAGACCAGCTTCTGGGAGTCCAGGTCCTGGGCCTGTCAACATCTGGCTAGCTTCCAGACCTTTTCTTTAAGGCTCTGTGAGCACCTGGCAGCATCTCAAAGAAGGGCTCTGGTACTGGGGAAGAGGACTGAACACACTTGAGAGGCCAGAAAAGTCTCCTGCTCCTGAAAGATCACCATGTCTGGGTCACATATGCCCACATGCACTTTGACATTCATGCATGCAAGTACAGATCTGGACTCCCTTGTATTAGTACCTTCAAGCATTTTTCCTAAGCGCCTTGCTTGTCTCCCACCATCTGTATACCCCAGGGCTTTGTCTCCATTAAATTGAAGGCAGATGGCTTGTCACCTGCCTCCTGCCTTCCCAATTGACTAGAAAAACCTGATGTGGTTGTGCACACCCATAATCCTAGCACTCAGGGCAGAGACGGAAAGATTGCCTCAAGTTTGAGGCCAGCTTGGCTTGTGTAAGGCCAGCCAGGGCTACAGAGTAAGGCCCTATGAATGAGACCCTATCTCAAAATAAAATACCACAAATTGATGAGTAGGTCTCGCCCTATGGCTAGAGTTGATAGGGGTGGAGCAAATCACCATCATCCCCAGATAAAGGAGGCAACAGGAGTTGTTACCAGGCTGTCTCAGAGACCCCCACCAGTGTAGGTCTCTACAAGTGCAAGATGCAAGGGAGAGGAGACAAAAAGAGTCTCTTCCGGCAGCAGGAAGTGGTAACTACCCATGGGGAAATGAAGCTAGTTCTTTCCTTTGGGGCTGAGTAGAAGGGGAACTATAGCTGAACCCTGCTTCCTCCCCCCCTCAGAGGGCCCAGAGGAAACACAGGCCTGCAGTCATCTGAGGAACTTCCCATCCAGCAGCTGTCTGGACTCCCTTAGGCCTCACTCAGGCTGCGACTCCGGAAGAAGGGTGGCATCTGATGTCCAGGGAGGCTGGGGGAGGCAGGCCGCCTAGGGGCAGTCTTGGGTCTGGAACAGCTATGGCGCCATTGTCCATTACTATTGTGGACCAGTGGCCATAGGGGTGTCGTCTGACACTGGGGACCACAGATAAGTTTCTGCAGATGGTGAGGAATAGCAGCAGATAGTCCCAGATATGTTGAGGCACTCTTGCATTGGCTGCTTTATGTTGAGGCTTTGGGCTCAAGGTGATCTAGGTAGAGAAGTAGCCTGCCTCAAGGGAAGTGAGCTTAGGAAAGGGGTGCCTTGTCCTTATGAGGTCCACCGGGGTAGTGCCAGGTCCAGGTCGCCCCGCCCCTCCGGGGACGGTGCTGCGGGCGGGGCGGGGCGGGGCGGAGCAGGCGGAGGGTGCTGGCCTTGGCGCCCCTGGTCCTTGCGCTAGGTGGTCTCGCCTTACCGCCGGGTGGGAGCATCGGGATTCGAAGGTGTGATCTGTCCTCAGCCATGGCGGCTCACGGGAAGTTGCGGCGGGAGCGGGGGCTGCAGGCCGAATATGAGGCACAAGTCAAAGGTGAGAGGGTGCTTTAGACTTGGTTTACTTCGGAGACATCTGAGTGTGCACTGATGTTCCTCTAATATCCCTGGAACAGGGTGGAGGAGGGACTACAACCTTGCTTCTTTGGCCTCAACTGCCGCCCGTGCCCTGCTGCCCGCCCCCCTCTCTACCCAAGTTTGGTCGCCTGCTGCTCACTCAGGCAGCAATGACTCTGGTAGCCCGAGGGAAGGGCAGACTGAGAGGGTGGTTTTCTAGCTGGAGTGTAATGGGCCACCTTGACTTTGCTGGTGGCCTGACACCTCACTCTCTCCACCACTAGAATCCACAAAGCCTTACCACCTTCGCCTCACGTTGGCACTGAGTTAGCTTGCAGGTTAGGGTTGTTGGCCTTGGTTCAGGCTAGGGGAGTGAATGTGGATTACAGAAATTCAGCTGGCCTGGCTTTACAGTCTTAGGCTATTAGACCTCTGGATTCTGGCGAACATGTCACATGTAAATCACATGCAAATGAGCTTTGTGAGTTCTTAGCTGACAGCTTCATTTCTTCAGGGTGTGGTAGGTAACGCTTGCACAGGAAAGGAGACAGCATCTAAGCACCCCCCTCAGTTTCTTTTGCCAACAGATATCTGACTCCCTTACCACTCTCAATGACTCTATATTGTACCTATTGTAGATACAAGCTCGAAACACAGTAGCTTATCTGCCACACAGTGCAACAGCCCCCAAGAGGAGGAATGAAATGACACTTGGAATTTTCTAGCCTGTAATTCTTTGATGCAAGCAATTTACACCAAAGTGTATCTTCGTGATGTGTTGCTGTTATAATGATGAGCACAGCTACATTTGAAAGTTTGGCTCAGCCCTCATCTTGGTTTCCAAAGCCAGCTTGAGGTGACTGCAGTGGGTGAACCAGCAGATGGAGACAATGATCCCATCCTACTTCCTCAAAATGCCAGAAACCCAAGGGCCTTGAAATGTCTTCAATCAGCAAACACAGGCCAGTTAGTTCCCACCAAGAGAATAAAATTTGGCCCTAGAATGTCTTTAAGATGGCCGTTGCTCACTCAGGGTGTCCAGTTTTTGTGGCTTTTATTTCTCATTGACCTCCCTCAAAAAAATTTAAAAAAAATTAAAAAGCCTTCCAATTATGCTGGAACAGGGGCACTGTCTTGACACTCTAAATTCTGAAAGGTCAGCATAGTCATGATTTGGAGGCCATCTATTCTGCTCCACTAATCAGCAGAAGTGAGAGTGAATGCCTGGCTCCCAGGAGGTGCTACAGGGGGCCTGGGTCTCAGCTTTGCAGTGCAAATATGCAGGATTTGTCACTCCTTTTTGTAAGCTATCCTTTGGTTTGTTTGTTTGTTTGTGTGAGTGAGTGGTACTGGAGCTTGGTATGTAGCCCAAGATAGTCTTGAACTCATTATTTTACTCAGGCTGGCCTGGAACTTGCAACATCCTCTGCCTCAACTTTCAAGGGCTGGAATGACAAGCATGTGCAATCCAGCTACCAGCTCTTTCTAAATTTTATTTATTTATTTATTTATTTATTTATTTATTTATTTATTTATTTATTTATTTATTTATTTATTTTTAATGCATCTGTTTTGCTCCAGACTCTGGGAATGCCTTATTGTATAAGAGAGAAGCAGTCTATTGCCTTTGTGTAGTTCACAGGTCTGAGGAGAGATAGTAAAAATCTAGCACACAATTAATTTCATGTATGATGGTAACCACTCCAAAGGACAGTCAAGGTGCTAAGAGCATATCAGGGCTAGACAAGGGCCTGAGCTACTAGCTTGTTGGGAGATCAGGGTTCTTTGAGCTGAGTTCTGAAAGCTCGGCCATGGTACAACCTGGAGTCTGGGGGCAGCAGTTTCCTGCCTTCTGTGAACCTCAGATGCCATTGACTTGCAGTCTGTAACTCCTTGACACCAGTTGGTATGTGTGTTCAGAACCAGCAGTGCTGTCGCCACTAGTGGAGAATCCATACAATCCTGTGGTCTGTTGGTTCACTTAGCATTGTGCAACTCTAATGGGTCCGTCCTTGGGTGTCACATTCCTTCTGGAAGACAGGACAGGTGCTGCAAAGAAGGGCCTGCTGGTTGAAAGGAAGTTAAATTGCCATTCTTCAAAACCTGTTATTAGTGGTGACTGCTCTGATTGAACTCACCAGTATTAGCATTCATCCTATCGAGTGGCTGGCACTCACAGGTAACTTGGTATTGTGGGCTCTGCTTTGCTTTGCATTGGCTTCAGTGTTGGGAGTTTCCACATATACACACCAGCTTCCATCCACCTAAATTATCCCCTTGGTGGAAATTTAGCAATTCCAGCGACTTGGTGAAGGGTGTGTCCCAAATCTCATCCCCAAGGGAGTCCAGTGGAATGGGGTAGAAAACTGATGAATGGACCGTGCTGGCAGCTAGATCTGGAGCACCTGGACTCAAGAAGTCAGTCCCACTGTAGATTGGAGTCTGAGAGCAGGCAGTGGACACACTGAGAAAGGAAATCTTATGAGGAGATGGGCAGTCTGGGTAGGAGATACCTAAGAAAGCTTTCATCTCATAGCTCCAGGAAATTCAGTGTCAGGAAAGAAGTCCAGCCATTCTAAATCTCTTCACAGTGGATTTCTTTTGAACAACTATCCCTGGGGCTTGCCTTTCAGACTGGCTTCCTGGTCCTAGTGCTCACCATCTTTTCCTTAGAGGAGTGTAGTAGCTCCCCCTTAGGTTCTATACAATAGCTAGGGGGACCCTGATAAAATGAGTCCACAGGGCTCTACTTGATGGCTTATTTCTCCTTGGGCATCCACTGGGAATCCTAGACTACAAGCTTTTGGTCATCCGCTCCCCTCACAAATTCCTTCCCTTGCTTTTGTTATGCTTTTTTTTTTTTTTTAAGTCAGTGCCTTGGGTAGCTCAGGATAGCTTCAAAATCACAGTGTAGCCAAATATTCCCTTGGATTTTGGAGTCTTGCTTCTACCATACTTGCACTACCATACTTAGTCTTTGTGTCTATCAGATGAGCACCCGTTGCTCCTGGTCATTCTATAATTGCTCTTTTCTCATGCTATCTGTTCCCAACTATAGTCCCAGCTCCAAAGGAACAGACACTGTGTCTAGAATATGCCTGGAATGAAACACATGCAAAGCCACCATTCTGCTAAATAAAATAAGCAATTAGTGTCCTGCTCTGACTGATATAGCTGAAAATCTATCTGTTGATATCCTCCTTACCAGAAGTCCAGGCAGTGAGCTGGGAAGTGGTTAGTGCACACCTTTAATCCCAGTATTTGGGAGGCAGAGACAGGTGGATCTCTGAGATTGAGGCCAGCCTGCTGTGCAGTGAGTTCTGTGACGGCCAGGGCTACACAAAGAAACCCTGTTTCAAAAACAACAACAACAACAAACCCCACAACAAAACAAAACACCACCACCAACAACAAAAAGAGGCCAAGTGTGTCTTATGTAGTTTATGTATTGGGGTGAGGGTTTTGGTGCTCATTTGGGCTCTTGGTCTGGGTGTGGGGGTACACTGTTGCAGCAGCTTGCAGGACAGGCAGCTTTTGCTTTAGATATGGGTGAGGGAAGAAGTATTGCCAAATCAAGCCATAGATAAGATGTCAAAAGGCCTGTGGTGGTGTGGGGCCCCCAGCTATGTGATTCCCCTGTAGAATAGAGGTAAAAGCCCTGGGAGGAGTAACTGCCAGTAGAAACAGACAGAAAACTTAGGCCAGCCCCTTCTGTCCCTTCATTTATCAACCTTGGCCAGGACACTTGGTCATGGCCCTAATTATGGGACCAGTTTAACCTGGTCTGAAGTCCCTGCAGGCTTCGTGGAGTGCCACAGCAGTCCTGCCCCTGAGCAGCTTCTTGTGTCTGTACAGAAGCTACAGCCCAGTTTTCTGCCTCAGGGTCCTTCCCAAGTGAACCTGGGTACCTTGCTTCAGGGCACATTTCTTTCTTCTGTGCTTAGCTCCAGGTTTTTGCTCAGTCGGGTGCCAGGGAGTCTTCGGTGTGGACAGGATGTCTGTCTGTCTGTCTGTGCCTCTCCTAACTCTTAGTGGTCTGGTTGCACGCTGTGCATGCCGGCCAGACCTGAACCAAGGTCCCCTTGCAGGGATGCGTGGGCAGTTGAGTGAGCAGCTCCGGTGCCTGGAGCTTCAGGGAGAGCTTCGGCGGGATTTGCTGCAGGAGCTAGCTGAGTTCATGCGGCGCAGGGCAGAGGTGGAGATGGAGTACTCTCGGGGTCTGGACAAGTTGGCTGAACGCTTCGCCAGCCGCAGTGGTCGCCTGGGGGGGCAGCAGCCAGGAGCAGCAAAGCTTCCGGTAGGTACCATACTGGCAGCTGTGCTTTGCAGGGCATGAGACCTAGGCTTTCTGGTCTGAGTACTCCTCTGCTACAGGAAGGAGCCGACTCTCCTGTCACCCTTGCACTGCTGGGCTGTGCTGCTGGAGCACACGCGGCTCCAGAGTCGGGAAAGTGCTGCCCTCAGTGAGATGATGGCTGGGCCCCTAGCTCAGCGACTGAGTCACATTGCTGAGGATGTGGGACGCATCGTCAAAAAGGTAGGGTGACACAAGTTGTGGAGGGTTTCAGGATCTAACGAAGCACATGGGGATCTAGCTGGAGGCACTGTGGTTGAGAGGCACGGGAGGCCACGTGGAAGTTGTAGCCCAAGGTTGGCTCCTTGGGATCTGAGGTGGGATGAATTGTCACAGGATGGTGGGAGGCACTAAGCAGGGCAATGCTATGGTCACACACACACCCTTTTATCTCTAGAGTAAGGACCTGGTGCAGCAACTGCAAGATGAGCTCCTGGAGGTGGTCTCAGAACTCCAGACAGTAAGCAGGACCCCCTATGTGCTGACAGGGGGAAGCAGGAACAGTCTCAAGCCATTGTATCTACCAGTTAGGCTCAAGAGAATGGATGCTCAACGGGAGATCTGAGTCTGGGGGGCAGCAGGCATGGGCCCCTCTGTGCTCTGGGAAGAGAGTGGTTAGAGGATAGCATAATTAGGTGAAATGGCCCTACTCTCAGATCTGAATCCCAGGAGGTTTAAGGGGGCAGAGGGGGGACTGTTCCTGCCATGACCTTCAGCAGGGCTGCCTTGCCTGGGCCTCCCTGCAGACCAAGAAGACATATCATGTGTACCACTTGGAGAGCATGAATGCTGAGACCAAACTCCGGGAAGCTGAACGGCAGGAGGAGAAGCGGTCAGGTCGGAGTGCCTTGCCTACCACCACCGCTGCCTCTGCCACCGCAGTGACTACTATTAGCACCACTACTACCACTGAGACAGGGGCCGTCCGAAAGAGCTCTCTCAAGAAAGGAGGGCGGCAAGTGGAAAAGGTGGGCCTGGAAGGCCACAAGCTCCTCTCTGTCCAGCTCTGATAGCTCTGGCCTTTGTCCTGACAAGCCCTTGGCTATCCCTGGGGCAAAGAAGGGTAGGGGAAGAGCCATAAGTCCTAGGAATGTTCTTTCTTCCTGGTCAGACCTAATGGCTCTGGGATGTAGAAAAACAATGCCATTAGGTTACAGATGTTTCTGAAAGATGTGGAAAGACATAATAAGGTCCTGATAGACTGATTGTATCACATTATGTTCCAAGCTTGTCCCACAGCCTTGCTGAAGCAGAGAGCAGTAGTACTCTAAGCCCAGAGGACTTTTTCCTGCTAGCTTCTAAGTTTTTAGGGGACTCAGGACTGGGTTCCATTACTCAATAAGAAGCATTCAAGGGGAGCCCATGGAAAGAGTGGAGAGGCTCCAAGCTGAATGGGGCTGAGGACAGTGAATTTTGTTCTGTGCCATCCCCATGTGGAGCCTTGGTGGCTTTCTCATACAGCCACCTAGCTTTTATTTCCATCATGGGGTCTGCATATGAATGCCTTTTACTTAACCATCTGTATCCCTGTGACCAGATTCTACTTTAGAGAATAACAGAGACATTGAGTTGGGGACTCAAACCTAGGCAAGGGTGGTGGGAGTTGGGGATCAGTCCTTGCCAATATGTTAGAAGTAGCCAGTGAAGAGCTAACTAGTCAAGACAGTTTCTGGGGGCTGAGTGGGAAACTCAGTAGGGCTGAGCACTGAGGGTGCACCAAGGTTTGGTGTGTGGCAGAGTGAAGAAGTTCATATATTAAATATGAGGGACCTGTGCAAAGGAAATGGAAAAAAAAATGGAGATAAGAATGCTCTCTAAGTGGGTGACCCTGGTGTTCCTTGTTGTCTTGAGCAGCGTCAGGCCAAGTTTTTGGAGCAGAAACTTAAATGTACCAAGGCCCGAAATGAGTACCTGCTCAACCTGGCCAGTGTCAATGCCGCTGTCAGCAATTACTACTCACACGATATCATGGATCTTATTGATGTGAGTCTTGTATGCGCTGGCAGGTGGGGTCCATGGTATTAGAGCTTAAATGCTTGGAGCCCTTGACTCTGGCTCTAGGCCCATAACAATGTCTGCTTGCTTCTTTCCAGTGCTGTGACACAGGTTTCCACTTGGCCCTGGGACAGGCCCTCCGGAGCTACACAGCTGCTGAGAGCCGCACCCAAGCCTCCCAGATGCAGGGCTTAGGCAGCCTGGAAGAGGCTGTGGAGGCACTGGATCCTCCAGGGGACAAGGCTAAGGTGCTTGAGGTTCATGCCACAGCCTTCTGTCTCCCTCAGCGTTTTGACTACCAACCCCATGAAGGTGATGAGGTGAGAGGCCTAAACATTATTTCCAAGTGTTTCACATTCTCTGGGCGCCATGCTAATGTGGGTCAGTCACATAATTTCCACTTTGTTCAAAGAGAACAAGCCAGAAATTCTAGGATGCTGAAGGTCCTTATTTCTTAGTCCTGTGGCCCATTACAACAGTGTGCTGTGGGTGCTCACTCAGAGGGGCTGCCCTCAAACAGAACAACCACAGTGGTCCAGTTGTTCATCACGACTGTCCATACATTGTATGTTGAAAATGTTCATGGCCATGTATGTGCATGCCTGTCATCCTAACACTGGGGAGACTAAGGCTGGAGGATTATCCTAAGTTTAAGGCCATCCTGGGCTACTTAGAGAAGCCTACAGATTAGACTTCAGTGTAACACCCTGTCTACAAACAGACAAACTGACAACAGCAGCAAAGAAATTTCATAATGGACACTTGAGAGGAAATGCAGCATGAAGCATCATTTCTAATTAGACATCTGTACTCATCCCATGAGCTTTTAGGGTAGTCTTTCTCCTCTGCTGTAAAATTCCATGATGATATGCCTTGGGAATTCACTTTCCCTCTTGGTGCCAGGCAATGAGTGTACCTGTCTACTTGAAGCTTTGGGGTTTCTTAGATATCCTTATCTTCCTCCTCGTCCTCCTTTCCTTCACCCTTCCCCCTCCTACTTGCCTGGTACTTGGATCTCATTGATTGATTGATTTCTATGATTTCCTTCTAGTTTGCCTTTCTTGTTTCCCATCTCTACTAAAAGAGATTTCTTTTTGGAATTTCCTCCAACTCTTTGCTGAATTAAAACTAAATTTACTGCTGGGCAGTGGTGGTGTACGCCTTTAGTCCCAGCACTAGGAGATAAAGGCAGGAAAATCTCTTGAGTGTGAGGCCAGCCTGGACTATAAAATGTGTTCTAGGACAGCCACAGAGAAACCCTGTACTGAAAACCCAAAATAAATAAGTGGTGTGTGTGTGTGTATGTGTACATGTGCTTGTGCACGCGTGCACACACATTGCATTTATATACAATCCCTGCAGAGGTCAGAAGAGGGCACTGGATTTCTTAGAGCTGGATTACAAGTGGTTATGAGCTGCCTGATATGTGTGCTGGGAACCAAACTCTCTCTGTTCTTCTGCAAAAGGAGTAATCACTTTTTATCACTGAGCCACCTCCTCAGCCCCCACTATGTCTGCTTTTAAATAGATTGTTAGTTTTTAACATTTTTTTGAGACAGGGTTTCTCTGTGTAGCCTTGGCTGTCCTAGACTCACTCTGTAGACCAGGCTGGTCTCAATCTCACAGAGATTCACCTGCCTCTGCGTTCATGAGTGCTAGGATTACAGACGTGTGTGCTACTGCACCCGGCTTTAACATATTTTTTAAATTATTGGGGCTGGAGAGATGGCTCAGAGGTTAAGAGCACTGGCTGTTCTTCCAAAAGTCCTGAGTTCAATTCCCAGCAACCATGTCATGGCTTATAACCATCTATAATGTGATCTGTTGCCCTCTTCTGGCATGCAGGCACACATGCAGGCAGACTATTGTATAAATATAAATAATAAATAAGCAAATCTTTAAAAAAATTGTGTGCGTGTAGTGTCCGTGTGTGGGTGCCTGTGGAGGCCAGAAGAGAGTATTGGATTACCTGGAACTAGAGTTACAGGTGGTTGTGAGACACCTGGTGCTGGAAACTGAACTCAGGTCCTTCGGGTGAACAGAAAGTGCTTCTAACTGCTGAGCCATCGCTTCAGCCCAATAGATCACATTTTTTAATTGATGAAAAAGAAAATTTTCCAGGTGTAGTGGCACACACATGTAATCTCCTCACTCAGGGAGGCAGAGGCAGGCAGACCCTGTGAGTTCAAGGCCAGCATCGTCTACACAGTGAGTTCCAGGACAGACAAGGCTACACAGACAAATCCTGTCTCAAAAAAAAAAAAAACAAAACAATTTTTTTTTTCTGATATTTTCAAGTCCAAAGTTCAGTGCTGTTAAACACATTTACATTGCCGTGTGATTATCACCCTATCTATTTCTGGACTGCTTATTTTCTTAATTTGTCTCCAATAAATACTTAGGTCTCTTGCTCTCCTTTCAGCTTCCTGAACCCATTATTCTGCTGTCTCTGTGAACTTGACTACAGCAGTGACACCTAAAGGTCTCTCACAGTAGTGGGTTTATACAGCATTTGTCTTATAGGACTGGCTCATTCCAATCTTCCTTCCTTCCTTCCTTCCTTCCTTCCTTCCTTCCTTCCTTCCTT